GTGGATTGAGGAGGGGAGCTAATCCTGATCTTCTCCACCCCCCGGAAAAAGGAGTGAAAGTGGATATGAGGGAGATAAAATTAAAATAAAAACCTTACATGGCCCACCATGTCCGGTAAGCAAATGTGTTAATACCATACCCCATTATGACGGCAGTAGCGACCCCGGCGTTGAATGGCGACAGGTATGGACACATCCCGAATTCATAGAAGACACTTCCCGCTGACCTTTACAGCTTCTGTGGGAGAAGTGGGGCTCCATCTTGCCTAGAGGTTGCATTTTTAATTGGTTCTTGCTAGCGAATACTCGCCTGAAGTTTGAAATCTTCCGAAGTTGTAACGAGCGCTAGCGAGAGGAGTGTTATACTAAGCGATTGGCCCTAGCGAGTACTCGCCAAGTGTAACAGGGCCTTTACGTTGCCTCTTTCGTCGAATGTATCCAAGGATTCCAATGTTTTCCCTTCTGTTTTCCATGAGGAAAATATCATGCAACGCTTGAAAAGAACTGATTTCTAATGCCAGTCGCATATCAGGGGGAGAAAGGGAAGAATCAGGAAAAAACAAATCAGAACATAGGAATCGAATCCCTAGCATTGAGATTCGTAAATAATTTCCTTTTTTCTTTCCACTCTGAAAGGAACATTACGTAGGGTTATTTTTGAAAAGAGGCCATTAACGCCATACGCTGAAAATGTGATGATTTATAGGTCTATAATAAGTCATAAAGGGAACTGATGCGGTAAATGATAACAAGAATAGTTCCGGATGAAAACTGTAACTGACCTTTCTCTGCCTGTGTTTGGAAGAGGCAGACTCATCGCCACCAATTGAAGTGATCGGCACTGAGATTTTAATATCTTTGCAATCATCATCTGGCATGTTCAACGTCTCCGTGTTGCTTGATGGGGTTACGGTGAAATACACTTTGTCGAAGCTGTTCACCGACAGCTGATTCGTGTCCACGTCCCGGCCGTGCTGTTTACCCACACATGCAATCTCTTAGAAAACAATAATTCCCAATTAAATTGGGAGGGGATAGCTAACTCATATAGGCCCACAGGGGCTATAGTATTAATACGTAGTGTCTTTCAAGTCAAAGTTTTAGAAAGATTCCAATCGACATGATTAAGTTACAATTGGCAGGCAACCCAAGCACAATACAGTAGGAGCCTCCTAATGGCGGCGGTTCCCTCTCCCTTTTGCGACTACTTTTTTCTTAAATCATCATATTCTTCATGGCTTTTTTTTAACTACTCTTATCGGGGTTAGATTTAAAGTGAAATATAGATAAGTTTAAAGGTTGAAGGTTAGATCAAAGCGTCCACGTGTTGCCATCCGAATATCGGTAAGATGGGAAGGGCTTCTTATTCTTGACGAGTACACTCCTACGCAGGTAATATTTTCATGCATTTTCAGTTCATTGCAAAACGTATCGAACATGAAAAGACCCCATGCGCAACACGAAGACTGGTCAAAATACATCGTGACACAAAAGTCACTTGACAAATGAGAAAAAAAAACTTTGTTTAAAATCTTTTCTTGCGACCCCGACTTTTTGCAACATGTGATGTTTACTGATGAATGTCTCTTCTTGGATGGTCATGCTCACACACAGAATGCGCATTACTTGTCCCAGACTAACCCAGCTTGGATGCGCAAATCGAACGAACTTGGTGCAGAGTAGGTGATGGTGTGGTGTGGTCTGCTTGGTGACATGGTTGTTGGACCAAACTTCTTCGTAGGGCATGTGGACCAACACACATTTGGGCAAGTGTTGGACACAACTGTAACTGATTTTCTTCATGATTTGCCACTGAATACACGGCGCAAAACGTGGTTACAACTGGACAGAGCCACTTCCCACTTTGCTCTCACAATCCGTCAGAAATTGAATAACCTGTTTGGTGGATTGGACGGGGTGGATCTGTGTCATGGCCCCCTCGATCACCTGACCACTCCCCCGGGGCTACGTTAAACAGCATGTGTTTATGACGGAACCTGCACCCCCTCAAAGACCTTAAAGACCGCATCACTGATGTTCTTCAACAAATCACACCAGCGACACTAGCCGCCGTCAGAAATGAACTAAAGAATCCTTTGGAGCACTGCGTTGTGGTTCACTTTGAGCATCTCTGCTAGTTCAAAAATAAAGACAAAGGGATTTTTTTCTCATTTGTCGAGTGGCTTTTGTGTCACACTGTAGTTTAAAAAAAGACACTTAAATCAAAATCTTCCCCTTCATTCACTTATAGGTTCCATGGTTCCATATGCAACAAGCAGACTGAACTATCATCATGTCTTCCTTCTCTTGTACACGGTGGCCCAATGAACTAGGGGGCAGTATTAAAACTCTTATGGCTTTTAAAAGATTGCATAGATGTTAAGGAAATTTCAATACCATGAAAAAAAAACCTTGCTAAACTCGTTTCAATTTGTCAAGGTAGTCGAGAGATGAAGGATTTGCAAATACCCGGTCATAAAATCTGTTGGTTGGGCTTATGAAGCCATCTCAAGTGGAATTGGCCATGTGCCAATTCCGCCTGCCCAGATCTGTTTCTCGTTCAAGAATAGTTTTTGAACGCCTTGACTAAGGTATAAGGTTTGATTTGCATCATTGTAGGTTTGGAAGTTGAAAAATTCTTCATAGTAATATGAAATATTGTTTCCTGAAGTGGCGATGTTTGGACGGTATTCAGGTAACCTAATTTGATTTGATCATACAAGTGCAAGCGATTTTATTAAAGAAAATGAATGGATGTATTTCCCAGGATCTATCAAATAGTTTCAACGAGCTTTTTTCAAGAACAAGAATGGTGTATAGAAGTGCATAGTATTAAAAGCTTAATGGGAACCCATGCATTCGTTTGAAAAGTAAAGGAGTTTAAAAAGAGCCCCCGATGTTATTGAGTCAATGTGTATATTTAACTATGCTACTGCCAATTTTCAGAACGTTCTCACTTGAAAATTTCATTTTTAAATATTCATAAAGCAAAGTTGGGAATATTATTTCTGGGAATTTTCTGCGATAGATGTGCGTCAATTGGACAAGAGATTCGGAAGAAACAATTTTCAATTCTGGGCAGCCGTTGAAGGACAAGGTATTTTGAGATGACCAGTCCTAAAAGTCGTATGATATGTTCTGGTATATAGCGAAACTAAAGATACTGCATCTCTGAAACCTGCCATACTAATCCAGGCGACATTAGTCTAGATAAATGTTTTGCTACTCAAAATTCCCATCAAGGCTATGCTCGAAAGGTTAAACTTTAATAGCTTCTAGAAGAAATAGAGATAGATTGATTAATACGGGAAATAAAATGTTTTCATCATTTTCCTTCATATTGAAACGGATTTTGGCTTAATAAAATCGAGCAGTAAATAAAGAAGTTATAGAATCAAATGGGTTCTACTGAATAAGAATTTCCTTTCCGTGAAAATGTTAAAGGTCACAACTTTCGACCTCAGGTCGGGTAAGACCAAATTCGATATTTGATGGTTTTGGGTCAAACACAACCTATGGACGGCGAATGAAGGAATTTGGAACAGGTCCGGCGCGTGTAACCCTGTGTACAGTGGGCCCCAGCCCCAGAGGAATAAAGGAATAGTAAGATAGAAGAACGAAAGAAAAAAAGAAAAATCTTTGAAACGCGGCGAGTTATTCCGAAAGAGATCCAAGCTCTGCGTGAGATGGAGAATATTCCTAGGTCTTCTTATTCTGGACAGGCGAGAGGGCCGAGCTGGGCGAAATCCGTCACCGCCCCAATGCACGAAAAGTATTTTTATTATTATTTTGTTTTAATTGCTCCATCCTTCCTGCGTGAAATCCTCGCGCTTGAAGGCCCTCGAGGAGGTCACTCGAGGTGAGAAAGACGTCAGCGTAGATGGGTCTACTCGTTTTCATCCCATACCCTCGCTCGTCTCCCTTGATCATGTTGTGAAATGTCTTGTATATTCATTACCGAGTCATTGCTAGGGTTGCCACATTTGAATTCAACAAAAGGAGGACATATGAAGATATGCACAAATATTCGAAGTATACTTGTGTATGCGGCTATGCCGCAAATATCCCCCAGAGCCACTTAAGCCAAGGCGGCAATCGATGCTATGAGAGTGTGGCCCACTGCCTTTAACTAACGAAAAGAGCAATTTTTGCTGCTATTAAGCTTTATTAATGAAAAAAAATATGGAAAAGTTTATATGGACATATAATATAAGTGTCCATATTAAGACCAGTTTGCAGTATCTACGGAACGTCTGAAATATGTACTATCAGTACCAAGGCCGTATTTATGGGGGGGTTCATGGGGTTCAAAACCCCACCTGAAATATCTTCCTTAAATTTTTGCCATATTCGTTGCTGTAAACGGTGCAGTACTTGGTCTTTTCTATCTTTAATAGCTTATGACTTATTAAACACTGCAGCTTGCAGGAAAATCCAGATATATCACAACGATTTACAATGACAAGTATAAAAAAAAATTACCACAGCCCATACGCCAGACCTCAACCCCCCCGAAAGGAAATCTAAGATCAGTACTAATGGTGCTGTACTACGTAACAGTACTACGGCCCTGATCAGTACTAATTATGAACGGGTGGCAACCCTAATCATCGATGGTACCCGTGCAAAGTTCAGACACCCTTTGTCAAGCTTAACCTCAACAGCTTAACGACCTTGTCGATGATCTATGCTTCTACCAGAGCCACTTGATGTTCTTGGAACTCCGAAATTCATTCATAAGAGCCCGTGTATCCCAAGGTGTCTATCTATCTTAGAGTGCTACTCACAGCTCCAGTGAGAGTTGTATCTCCAGAGAGATTCATCTCAGAAAATTCCGCTCTTTTCCTTAATTATAATGCACTGATTTTCATTTTTTTCCTAATATAACTTCGATAATCGAAAATGAAATGAGGGGCAAATCTTCGGAGCCCAGAGGTGGCTCAACGTATTGGCCGCAGGGGGCCCCGCATTTTCCCGCGCCGGACCTGTCCGGAGCAACCAATCAACTGGTCAAATTCATACTGATCTATGGCGATTTTTAAAAGTGACCTAATACTGCATGCCTCCTTAAAATTCCTCTAACGTAAACGTATAGTCGATCCAATATACAGGGTGGTTGAAACGTAACTCCCTACTGAAAATTGCTTATAAATTTTGTAAATAGTACTGCATTTGCATGAAACAAAATGTATTGTGATCCTTACAGTGGTAGAATTTAATTGATGATCTCTGATTTCATCTCACAATGACGAGAGTAGCCCATAATGGCCCGTCGCCTGACACTGCGTGAGCGATCTCAGCTGGCCTCCCGTTACGAAGTGTGGCAGTCCGTGGTACAGGTGCAGAGATGGTGGCGGAATGTTCACGGACCTCGTGCTTCAGTGGATGCCAAGACCATCAGGAACTGCCATTCCAAGCTGATGAATACGGGATCTGTGGTAGATACTCGCAAAAGTGGTCGTCCCTCGACATCCAGGTCGGAGGAAAATGTGCAAGTGGTGCAGGATATGTTCATCCGAAGTCCCAAAAAGTCAACACGCCAGGCCGCTCGTGAAAATGGCCTAACTCGCCAC